AATTTTCAGGAGAAATGTCAGAGATTTTTTGCTTTGAAGAGGATATTTAATGCTGACTGGGGTTTGATTTGAGGTGCAGATAGAGAAAGCTCTGTCTTTAAAATGAGTCATTGCTGTAATAAGATGGGAGCTTGTTTGAAGCTGTTGCAGATGTTTCTTAATGCATGGAAGAAAAGAGTGATTGTTGAAAATGTTTTTTTCTTTTAAACAGATCTTTAATCTAGTTTATATATAAAAAAAAAATTTTTCCTTTAATCTCTTAGCACCAGGCTTTGATTTATCCCCTAGAAATGCATTTTTTCAGGCTTTTCTGGGTGATTTGCTGACCTGCTAAATCCAGTTTTAATTAATATATATTTGTTTTTTGTTTCGTGTCACAACTTACTCAAATAGAAATAGTAGTTTTGACTCAGTTACCTCGGTTTACGCATTCAAACATGTTTCTCTAACCTTTTTTTTTATTTTTATCGATGTCTAAAAGATGTGTAGCATATTGTGTAAACTTCTGGTTTTGTTTTTTATATCTGCATTTTTATACATTTTGCTAGAAAAGAGGAAAGAAAAATTCCCAGATCAGAGTAAATTTAAAGGAAAAACAGATCAAAATCCATTCTTCAAAATTCATTCTTACTACTTTTCTATTCTAGAAACAAACAAGCTTTGTTTGTTAAAATGCTTCAGTTAGACTTCCTGTTTGCTCTATGCTATCCAGCCAAGCCTGGCAGCAGAAAAACATCTTGACATGAAGCAGATTGCCTCTATTTCTATTTGATTTAACCCCGCTACGTTGGAGCAGTCCCTGCACCGCTGCAGCCATTATCAAAGGCAGCTTTGATCTTGGAGAGACTAACCACATCCAGACATCGTGGATCACAGAGGCAGAAAATTGGTTGCATGTGGCCGGAGTTGGCCACGGTGGAGCAAGGCATGGGCCTTGAATAGCAAGTTGATGTTTCACTTATCTTACATCTTGACGCTCTGTGTGTGCGTGTTTACAACAGGAGCTGTTCTTTCTGAAGCATTATATACACACCCCTGACTTTTAATACTTTTAGCCTATAAGTTTGTTTAACGTAGCATAGTTCTTCCAGAAAATATTGATTTGGAGTTTGCATCTAACTTGCAGCTTGAACTGCACAAAGAAAAAGTCTATTATCATTTGGGATTCAATGATTGATGGCTTCTAAATCAATGCTATGGTAAAACAGGGTGTCACAGCGTTGGCCCCTCTGCAGTGGGGGCCAGAGAGGGCGTGCTGGGGCGGGGGTGTGACCATTATTAACGGGTCGCCTGCTATGCTGATGGTAAGGAGGACAATTGGCTTTATCCTCTGCCATATGCTGCCCGTGGCGGCTCAGACGGGCCCAGTGTCGACAGGGGCTCTTCTGTTTGGCCAAGCCCACAATCACCATGGGACTCTTGCCAGCCAGGGTCACGGCTCAGTGTGTGTGTGTGTGTGTGCATGGATTACTTAAATGTGCGAGCCTTGCACAAGCGTACTCAAGAGATTCGCTATTATCGGCCTGCTCTGCAGAACTTGTCGTCCGGGTAACTGACACCCCATTGATGCAAGGCAGGGAGGTTTATTTTCATTTCCTGGGGCACATCAAAGCAGTGGAGAGGAGTGCAGGTGCAGCCCAAGCCTCTTGGTGGGTTTTGGCCAGGCGAGCATCTATCTGAGGGTTTTGCTGTATGTGTGTGGGAGCATATGAGCCGCTTGTTGTAATGTCTGATTTAATTAGAAATGGTATCTAACGCTGGTTTGCCTTTGAAAGTATCTCCATCCAATTAAAGGAAGGATGTTTGGAAAAGGAACCAGTTTGGTTGTTTTGTCTCTTTGTCACGAATCATTACAAGAACAGTTTTTTGGGAAGCTGACTCCCAGCTGAAGCTGATGGTTATAAGCGCAGGGATTTCTGGTGGTGAATGGTTCCCAAATCCGGATGAGGAGGTGCATGGATCTGTATCTTTGGGATTATCACTACGGCTCTGAAGGAACCTCTGCACTCTCTGTTGTTTTTGTACGTTTCTTCAGATTTCTGCCACATAAAATGTTTGTGACCAGCTATTACAGAGCAAAAAAAAAAAAAAAAAACAGACATTTGTTTGGCTTGAGGACAATGAGGAACCACAGAGACGGAGAAAACATGGAACTATGGTGACGCTTCTCAGGAATGTCTGCTCCACCGAAATTTATCCAAAAGTTCAGCGAAGATTCCTCCAGGAGGGCAGAGATAATATAAAATATAAAACCACCCAGGCCTTCATTTTTTATTTTTTATTTGTCATGAATTGGCAAAAAAAAAACTTAATTCAATTCAGTTTATTTCTATAGCTCCAATTCACATCACGTCATCTCAGGTCACTTTACAGTTCACCAGATCATCCAGTCAGATTGATTCAAAGTTTTCTATCTAAGGAAAACCAGCTGATTGCATCGACT